ATACACTAGTTGCCAGGTCATGGGCGAGTCACGGAATCTCTCTAAGTCTCATTTATTCACATGTTAACTGGACCTGATAATGGCACCTTCCTTGCAAGGTGAGAGGATTCAAAGCTTGTAAAACATCTAACACAATGCCTAAGTGTCCACTGAATCAGCCACCACAAATATTATACAGAGGTAATAGTGATTACAGAGGCTGGACGTGAGCAGAGCAAGGATCACAAGTATTCAGAGAGAGACTAAGGCCCTTGAAACGGTTTCCAGAGCGGGCTGTCCACCGTCTGTGACTGCACCAAGCACCGTGTCTGATTTAGTGAACCAAATGGCTGCCCAAGTGTAACCATCATTAACTAGTGTCTAAAAGCTTTGCTCCCTGCTCCTTTCCAGAAGCCTTGGGTCTCCTTTCTGTTTAGCCTCTTTGTGTCTTTGCCCTGCTGTGCATGGGGGAGGCGTTTCAGGTCTCAAGAAGCAGACCGGGGATAAATCTTCAATCTTCTGACTGTAATGAACTGCTTGGCTCCAGGCTCACCTCTAACCCCAGGGCGGTTTCCTGCATTACAGCAAGACAGTCCCCTGGGGCATTTGGCCTCGCCTTGCCTATCAGTGCCCTCCACGTTGACTTAAATGGCACTTACAGAGCCAGGGCTTCCTCTGCTCACAGTGCCAACAAACAGGCACCAGAGAAGAAAGCCAAAGCCCTCAGAGCAGCCAGTAGGGAAACTGCTGTTACAGCACAGAAATAAGGGACCAGAATGAACAGCACCCTACAGCTAATCCTGTGCCCTTGGGCCTCAGGCCTCCCAGGGAGGTGACCCTCATGCTGTCAGGGCCCTTGTCAGTCTCGGTGCCTCTGTGCTGTCCCTACATCCTAAACGTGGGTCTCAACATGATCCCAGTGACAGGAAATCAGACCCTGTCAGCCTGAACATTTGGCAAAGGGAATTGTGGGTGTTTGTGCTTCTCCCTCCCCACCCTCTTTCTTGTGTGTGGCACCTAGACAAATTAAAAATAAAATCATTTCCTGTCAGTTAGGCAAATCATATTCTCACAGTTCCAAAATGCACACATTATAAATAAAATATAAACTCAGACAGATCTGATTGAAGCCTCGTCTCTCAGAGAACAACGCCGGAGAGCCATCGCCTGTGTTCTCTTCTGCTAGGTAAGCGGGGATCCCGGCGGGGCCTTCTCCTGACCGGGTGGTGTCCCTCTACCAACATAAATCTCACAGAACCCTTCAGGAGAACTCCCTTAAAGGCATTTATTCACTTCTGGAAATGAAGCTATTATCAGCTTACCTAAGGATCGATAAATCTTAGAAATCATTTAACCCGAAGTTCACACAGAATAACCAAGGTCCAGAGATGTTAAGTACTTTGTCCATGGTCACTCAGCAGTAACCCAATTGTAGAATAAGAAATTCTAGTTTAAGGAAACTCTTGCCTAAAACTTTCATGGTTCCAGAGATGTTGCCACTGGGTATACCCATCCTAAAAGACTGTTAATTATGGATAGTCTTTTAACAATATATCTACAAAATGAAACTCCATGTAACACCTTAGCATCCCATCCATGCCTGTTAGAGAGTTACATATGGGAAACCTGGGTCCCAAACCCATCACAAATGTTCTTCCCAACTGTGAGGACTGACGACTGAAGGCCAGCTGTGTCTGCCTCACCTCCTGTTTTCGCAGCCGTCCAGTGCCAGCGTGCATCAATATAGGTTCAAGTGGATGTCCCCAAACCTGCTCCCTTCCCATAAAGTACAGCATGGAAAAAAATCACAAATCCTGCCACAACATAAGCAGCCATTGAGGGATGGAGTCAGTATCTCCCTTTCGTTTTACAGATTCCATACCAATTTTTCAATCAAAATTTGTGACACATGGGCGAACAGCAGGATAGAATATTAAAAATCAGGACCTCCCTGAGAAATCAGGCCTTATGGTTTCCATGCCAATGGCCCACAATGCCAGAAAAGGGCCTCTAAGGTCCAGAGGCAACTTGGCTGGCTTCGAATAGCCCAGACATTGTGAAGGCAGGACTCCTGGCCCGGGCTCCTATTGCAGACCCTCCCTTTCCCAACTCAGCTCTGATTCCCCAGGGGAGTGATGATGACGCCTGTCTGAATTTTCTCATCCTGTCGGCAGGGCTGGCCACATCATTCTCTAAGAATCTAAAAATCCGCATGCAGGGTCCGGGCCCAGCTAAACAGAGACATGTTTGGGAACTACAAGAAGACCAGTGAGAGCCGGTCTTCCCCGAGTTCAGGGAGATCGCCAATCCTCAGCTGCACCTGTCCCTTTTATGTTGAATAAAGGGTTCAACTCCTGGAGAAGCTGAATATGCAGTCCTCTGTCTCCTTAGTTAGGTCAGTCAGGTTGGAGCTGGGAATGAAATATGAGGGGGATATGAAGCTAGGGCCATTGACTGCTCCCAGAGATGGGCAGAAATCCTTCTTCACCCATCTAACCAGTACTTAAGTCTTGCTGTGTGCATCAATGTGGGGGTGCAAGAAGCTTCCTGCATAGTCTCTGTGTGAGACCTTACATTCAAGGAGGAGACAGGGAAGATGACTGAGAACCCCACTGAAGTGAAATACCTTGGAAGATAGGAATACAACACAAGGCTGTGACAAAGGCGATGTGCGCCTGGGGACCAATGCCTATGGAACACACATCCAGGGCTAAAGTTTAAGAATAGAGAGGGAGCTGGCTATGCCTCTCTGTGTCCAGAGAAGGCTCTGCCGCTCACTCCCAGGAACTGCCACTCTACCTCCCTTCTTGCACCCCCACTCCCTGGCTCCCAGGTATCTCCCTGATACTCCTTCACACGTTAAACTTGACTTCCAGTTCACAGCCCTTTTCTAATCTGCAGCAGGTCAAACCCCACGGGAACCAGGAGAGGGCAAGAGGATGTTCACTGGAGCCCCCCCTGACCTCCAATTTCCACCCCTCAAAACCACTGCAGCATTGTCTCCAGCAGTGCCTCCCACACCATCCGGGGCTCTCTGTCTGAGTAGCCTTCCAGGCTGATCTCGGAGGGCACTCAGAGAAGCAGGGGAGAGGTCCAAGGGCAAGGTGAGGATTCTGAAGCAGGGGCAAAAGTGATGAGATGCAGCCTGGGGCTCTGAGCAGCAGTTTCCCTGAGCTCTTTTTCCTTCCATTCCCCTTCTCTCTCCCCTTCTCCTCCTCTTCCAGCTCAGACCCTCCTCCCATCACATCACACAGAGGACAGAACACTCTGGCCAGCTGCCTGTCCCTTGCCATTCAGGCCCACCTACCCTGAGAGCAGGGCTGGCCCTCTCAGGATATAAGAAGGGGCAGCTTGGATGAATCCATGGTGTGGAAACTCCCTGGGGACCTGGGGACACTACTGGTTTGGTCAGTTCCACTCCAATCTGTCAGTTCACCCAGATCCCAGCACTCTGGGGTCTTTACACAGGAGGCTTTTTCCTCATCAGCCTTTCTGTCCAAGCAGCCACAAGTGTTTTGGAAACCGTGTCCTCATGACAGGAACTCTCAGCCAAGAAAGGGACGTTCCAACTAATCAGGCTCAGCCCCAGAGAGTTCAACCAGACAGGGGTCTGGGAACTGGGGAAGAGGGGCTGGAGAAAACCAGTAAACCCCAAGGTCTCCTCAGGCAAAGCCAGGAAACATGGTTCTTTTGCAGGGGGATTTTTACTTCTTCACGGGTGGGTAACATGACACAGAATGTGGGGCAGGGTGGGAATATGAGAGCACTTCCACACCAACACGCCCTCCCCGCCATATTCCTGGGGCTCAGCTGCCTTGCACAAACATCTCAGATTCTACTCCACACGAGCTTTCGCCCTCCTGACGCTGCACCTCCCAGGAGCTCCTCACCTCTCCCTCTCCAGGCCCAGATCTTTTCACATCAGAATGGTCACCCTGCTCCACTATCCACCCCCTGGCCCAACATTTTGCACTCCCTCCTCTTGGTCCTCGGCCAGCCAAACTGCCCTCGCCCAGCAGTCCCGAGGGTCCCCCAAGGCTCTCAGCCACCACACGTCCCTGTCGGAAGAAGGCCGCCCGCCCGAACGCGCCTCTCGGCGGGTCCCAGAGCCTATCGCCTCAACAGGTGCCCCTGCCACGCAGGGCCGTCAACCTGGGCCCCGGGCGGAGGCGGCGACAGGCACGCCCCCTGCAGGGCTGCGGGGTCTCCTCACGCCCCAGCCCAGGTCCCCGAAGCGCCTAGGGTCCCCACAGCTCGACTGAGCCACCCCCCACCCCACCCCCGCTGTAATCAGCCGCCTTTGTTTCCCTGCTCGCCTTGACCTCGCGGGGCTGACCTCGTGAAAGGGAATCTCGGAGCCCGTGCGCAAACACTGCCCATTCACCGGTAGTGATGGGGTGAGGGGCGCGTACAGTACCAGACCTTTCCCCGACCCAGAGAACCCCGGGGGTGTTAATGGGGAATACCCCGTGCCAAAGAAACAGGTTCAAGTTGACCGGGGCAGAGAAGGGGACTCAAAGCCGGGCGCAGCCCGTAGCGACCCTGTCTTACCCAACGCCCCCACCCCACGTCCTTGGCCCCCAGGAGGTTGGAGAGGGGGTGCGCACAGCCACCTACGCGCTCAGCTGCGCGCGGTTCCCACAGCCAGCTAGCTGCGCGCTAAGTCCAGCCGCCTTCCGTAGCGGACTAGGCGCGGGCAGCCCCCGGCCCCAGCCCCGCAGCGCAGTGCCGAGAGAGCCGCCACGTTCCCAGTCTCGCGCGCACGCCGGGCCCACCAAACTTGCAGCACTTTCTCCCAGCCCCCACCCGCTGTCACCCTCCCTCCATCCGAGCGCCCCGGCCCCGCTGGCCCAACGGAGGTTGCCATAACAACAGGCAGGAATGCTCCAACATATACAAAGCCGGCAGGGCGCGGCGGGCACGCAGCCCCCGGCCGGGCCCTGAGCCCTCTGCAGCCGCGCGGGGCTAGGACGCGCGCCGCGGCTCCCCGGCCGTCCGTCCGGCGCGCAGGGCGGACTCACAATGAGCGGGATGGTGCGGTCTTCGCGGAGCTGCTCCGGCCTCCCACCGGCCCTCTGAGCTCCCCGGCCGCTGGAGGATGCTGCATGGGCTCGGTTGTCCTGCCATAAGTAGTAGAAAGTGCCCAGGATCCAGGCTACGGTCAGGATGGCGATGGCATTGGCGCGGATCTTCCTCATGGTGGGCGGGCGGGCGCCCCGAGCGGGGGCCCGGGCCGGCGAACTCGCGGGGCCGGAGCGGGGGCGCTCGCAGCCCCAGCTGTTTGTTTTCGCTCGCGCCCGGCTGCTCAGTCCTGCAGAGCAGAAAAAGGAGAGAGGTGGGGGGTGGGGGGGTGATGGGGAGAGACAGCGGCGCGGAGCGATCCTCACGGTCCTAATGCCCTTCAGCCCCGCGCGCGCGCGTCCCCCGGGAGCCCATTCATTCGCGCGCAGAGCCCGCTGGGCGCTCCAGCCCTCGCTGGGCGCTCCAGCCCGCACTGGCCGTCCGGCCGCTGCGCTCTAGGAGAAAAGCGCGACCGGTGCGAAGCGGCGTGTGAGGCAGGCCCGGCAGACACCCGCGTCGGAATGGCGACGCGCCAGGGCCAGCCTCAGCTACCACAGCTCGGTGACAGAGCGCCCGGCGGCTGCCCCCGCGCGGCCCTAATCGGTCCCGCCTACCTCCACCCACCTCCGGACCAAGCGGCCCTGAGTCACTGGATGGAGATGCGCGACCCCGACCCGGGCCCGCGCCGCGGAGCTGTGGAGCTAGGCTGCGCTTGAACTGCGCTCTGGCGTGGGGTTCAAGGTATGTTCGCCGAGTCCTTGGGAAGGGGCCGGCTGGCTGGGCGGGAGGAGAGAGTTTGCACGGAATCTCCGCAGTCTAGGATTCCGAGGCGCCCCAAGGCCCGCCCCAAGGAGGGATTGGAAGCTGGTGCACTTGACATTCGAAGAGAGCAAGGGGAAGCGACGCTGCTTCACAGCCAGTGAAAGGAGAAGGGGATACAACAACCCCACACCTTTCGTTGGCCTAGGGCTCCCAGCTCTCATGATGCTTCCCTCCACCTCGCCTCACTGTCCCCTGGATAACCCTGAGGTATCATCAGGAAGAGGGGAGGCCAGAGACGCTAGAAGATTCGCCCAAGGCCATGCGACTAATTAGTGGGCAGAGCCCATTCTAGAAGCCATCTCCCTATCTGACACTTTCGACAAAGTGCAAAGCAGTGATGAGGGACGCAGACACGGAAATCAGAGATTCTACCCCACTCCTGGCTGCACTGAGAACCACGTGTGAGCTACTCTCACTCCCGCAGAAGGCAAGGCGGGCTCAATTAGCTCTAGGAGACCACCAGTACAGGCTGGGCACAGAGCAGACACTAAATGAGTAGATGTTCAGTAGACAAACCAAGTGGGGATCACAGAAGAAGAAATAATGTATTGCAAGGTGGTCCTAGGGAAGGCTTCTCACAGAAGGTGGATAAATCCTTTAAATACATTCTTAAGAGGTAGGGAAGGGGGAGGGGAGGGCAGGGTATGGGCTGCATGAATAGTCAGAGCAAAGGTTCTGAGGATGGAAGCACTCCATGTGTTCAAGGAAGAGAGCTGCCTGGCATTGCTGGGGTCCAGGATGCTGGGGAGGACTTGGTGGAAGTTGGGGTTGGCCAGGCTGAGAGAATCTGGGCTCGGGAGGCCCCTGAATACCAGTGGCAGAGTTGGCAGGGGGTTTTCTTCCCGCTAGTGCTGCTGGACACTGGCTTGCATGAAGGCCTGCAGAGGGTCCCAGCCTCTAAAGGAAGCTGCCTTGGGAATCAGGCAAATGGGGAGTCACAGCTCAAGCCTTCCTCCAGCGAGCCCCACCAGCACCACTCATTTCCCAAGGTTTCTCCAGCACTCAGGGCTGAAGCACGCACATAACAGATGCAGGAGTCATGGGGCAGACCCAGTGGTCATGTCTTCTGGGGGGGGGGGGCCAGGGAGACCTTGCTCCTTAGGAATCAGGCCCCACAGGCATGTCCAGACCACGATAAAGTGTAAGGGAGCTGCCCTCCTGGTGTCCCCACGTCCACACATGCTCTCATGTCAGCCACGTGGAAAAGCTTGGAGAATGGCCCCTTGATGCCATAGGCTTGCTCCCCTCATCCCAGCCTGGTCTATCCAAGCCTAATTGCTTTTAGTCTTGAGAGAGCCAGGTATGAAGATATGGGACCCAAACTCATCATATCAACNTAACCAAGTCCACTAGATGTGACAAAAGGGCAAACTGGACTCAGACCATCAAATCTTCATCCCATTTTGACCTGGATGTGCTGTCTTCTAGTCATTTGCTCAGCTAGATTAATGTACTACCTTCCAATCCCAAGCTATACGTCCTCAGGAGAGGTGCCTCATCTGATATAAAAGCCCAGCCTTCAATGTTTACTGCATGTCAATCAAGTCTCAGCAGCAACAACAACAAAAACCCCACCAGCTGTGTGTGTGCATAAGCCAAAGAAGCACTATTCGGGGGGTTATTGGGTTGGTGGTTCAGAGAAAGCTGTTGTTTTGAGAATACAACATGATGCGGTCTTTTTGCAGAAACTCGCTCTTTGGAAACCTCCACTGCAGCATGTGCTTTTGGTTAAGCATTCCTCAGCTGAAACGCAACTCTATGCTGAAATGCCGAGAGGATGAGGCAAAGTCTTGGCCAAGGTCAAGCTCTGCTGATGGTTTGAGAGAGGGATGGCAGCCAACTGCTCTGCACTTGTATAACATTTAGAAAAGAAAAACTAACCTCGAGTCATCTTCTGTTCTTTTTCTGAGCCAACTTCAGTCCTGCTCATTGTATCCAAGAATTCAGAGGAAACCATGTGTGCTCCAGCCTCCAGGGCCAAACACACACATCTTGATTAAAAAGAAACTAAGCTAGCTGACTGGGGCTCTAATCAGCCCTGTGGGATATAACAAAAGATGTCAGAATTTTAGATCACGTTAGGGTCCTTCTAGGAGAGGGCAGAGAAATGTATTTTAGCCTCCCTGTCGGCTATCTGGTCACTTTTTCTGGAATAACAATAAAACAACTCCGATTTGGTAGAAAATGGAGCTCACGTCTATGTCTAGGTGATTATTGTAAATCGAGTTTCCGGTTTAGGATACTTGGTACAAATTTGTGCTACTCAAAGAAAAGCCAATAAGCCACACCCTTTTTGGAACTGAAAATAAGCACCAGGATGGACTGGAAAATGTATTTTCTGCCAGGTCATGGGGAATGGATACATAGAGAGAGCTTATAAAATGCCAACTTTACATTTTGCCCATGTCTGACTCACTGCTGGCCAGGCAAAGGTAAGCAGGACAAAGTCCGAGGCAAGTCACGGTTATGCAAAATGCAGGCCCCTGTGAGTTAGTCACATCTTACGATTCACAGATGGGTAACAATGTGTTAACACGGTGGACCCCTCAAATTTTCTTAGGCAGCCATGACAATGGAAAAATAAAAAAAAAGAGTATTTTAAACTTACTGGTTTAATGTGTTTCTTTTAAAAGACCCAATTCTATTCAATTCCCTCTACATAGGAGGGCCTTAATTCTGCCTATCCTTAAAATGAGAAGCAGTCAGGCGTTTTTTGCTCAATATCCTCCCATCTACAATACTTGGCAAGCTTGCCTAATTTCCACTCTATGCTTATCTCTTACACACCTTACAGCACTCGCAATGGGGCTGAAGATAAAGATTTCTCTTCTTTCTTTACAGTTAAATAGCGGCTGAGTAGAAACGAGTTCCCTCAGGCCACACTCAGCACACCTCTGTTGGGAAGAGTATTTTGAACCCAGGTGGAGTACCAGATGGAGGGAGCAGGCTTCTCCCTAGTCAGTAAAGCCAGGAGGACATGGTGTGGCATCCTGCTTCCTTCATTCCCCTCCGTGCTTGCACAGTCTCCCTTCCCAGGGATGAGTGTGTGCAATGAGGCAGAGGTACATGGCACCCGAGGGAAGGGACCATATCAAGAAATGGTGGGATGTATCACAGAATGCTAGAGCTAGAACTGCCCTGACAGCACATCTAATTCCAACTCATCATTTTCTTGATAAATAAAGGAGCCCAGAAAAGTTAAGTGATTGGTCCAAAGATACACAGCTGATGGCCAGAACCAGAACCCTGGTCACCAGCCTATTCCTCTGATCGACAACTCACGACAGAACTGAGTATAGGAAAAGGCAAAATATAAAGTCCATGGACTGCACCCCCACCAACCAAATACACGTACCTCTTTTAAAACTACCCATGTCTCAGTCTTTCATTTCTTTTCAGCCCCGTTAGCTTACTAAGCTCAAATTTCTGATTCTTGTCCCGGACTTGATAGAGACCCTGGTGGCCTGAGCAGTCAGAATCCCAACTCTGCCCCAGCACAGTGCAGCCTGAGAAGGGAGGTCTTTGGGAAGCAGGAGTAGAACATAAGTAGCCTCTTCAACTCAGGAATGTTCTGGGTCACACATCGTACTTGTAATAATACCGACTCGAAACCCAGCAGCTTTTGAGGCTTATGCTCGCATAAAGGCAACAGGCTGCCCATTTAGCAAGAGAGAAAAATTCAGAATTAATAACGAATAAGGAAGCTGGAGCTCAAAGCTCAAGTGCTTTGAGTTCAATCTGGAGAGTATGAGATTAACTAGCACCATTAGTGCAAGCTGAGAATGACCTTTCAAGGCAGTGTGCACCGCATTAGAAGAGGGTACAAGCCAGGATACATGAACTAGGTCCTTTACATTTCCCATTCCTGTGCAAAGGAAGTCAGTTCTTGATTCTCCCCCAGTGACTACCCATTTGGTCCCGTTACCCACAGTGTCTAGGGACCTCCAACCAGAGCTGGCCATAGACAGAGCCAGTCAGAAGGAAACAATGATCTAATGTACTTCCTCCCTTTCCAAATAACCTGCTGGCATTTAAGCGAAGGCCTCGGTGGTGCCTCGGTGCCTCAGGCAAAGGGAGGGGCTAACACATCTCCTAGTAGCTGGCGGGACAGGTGCTTTTGCACAAGCAGGCCATTTGGCTGCATGTCAGCCCTGCTCCATCGCCTGATGCGAAGCTGCTCCAGGCCTGGGGACAGGCAGAAGGTACTAGGCTCCAGCATGAGGGGGCAGCTCGGTGATACCTGAAAAGTATAGCTGAATTCTAAAATGAAAATATTTGGGGTGGGGGGGGGAGGGTGACGTATTATTTTGTTATTCAGATCAAGAGTTAATCACAACAAGAATCATCCTTATACCCTCTTTTAGCTCCTATCATTCCCCCCAAAACTAATTCTCACTGTATTCCTGAGGGATTAGGTACTCTACAAATGACCACTTAAAGAACAGAAGAGACAAATGATCAGAAAGAAGAATCCTTTTAAAATATATAAACTAGCAAACTGAGAAACTATCTCCTTTAAAAGTAAAAAGTGATACCCCTCATGAAGATGAGACATAATGGGGAAAAAAAGGAAGAAAAGATAAACAAATGAATGAAAAACTCAGAGAGGCAAGGTAAAGGAAGAATTTAAGTTACCGTCAAATGTTAGGTCCCCAAACTAACAGGCAGAATAGGAGCCAAACAAAAGCTCTTTCTGCCTCCTGGCTTCCTAAGAGTCTAAAAGGAGGGATTAAAATGGCTTTACTTCAACAGAACACATTTTGTCATCTGACCTCTATCTGTGACATGGGTAAGAATAAGTAACTTATGGCTGCACTCGTAAAAGGCAATAAGTCTGACTATTGTGCTTTGTTCANAAAGCAATAAAAGTGTAATAGATACTAAAACCAGAAGAGCCTGAGGAGAAAGCATCCACAGAGCACAGAGAGGACATCGGTGGAGTTAGGTCAAAGAGGAGCGGGAGGGCGGGGGCGGTCAGTATCCGAGGGGTTGGAGGCTGGAGGAGTGGTGCAACAGAACTCGCTCAGAAAGGGTCACTCACCTCCCAAGCTGCTGGGCTTATTGGCTGCAGCAAGCAGAATCTATTTAAAACGCACCAGGCATTTTGCCTCATTCTGTTTCCCTGCCCAGAAAGGGCTGGAGCCAAAAGTTTAGGGAGTCATTCCAGAGTTAGGACCCTGCATGGGCCACAGGGCTGAGACGATGAAGATCCCTGACCCATCTGAAAATCACCTCCCCTCCCCCATTCCCCTCACAAGCTGCCAGGCCGCTAAACTCACAACATATTGATCACAGTCTCAAAGGTCGTTTGTGTTATCCACTTCCACTGGGAAAGACTCAGTGAGTTCCTTCATTCTGTCTTCAAGCTTGTCAGAAAGCAGATGCAGCTCAAATGTGACATGTGCTCTAAAGGGATGCTGAAAGGCAGCTCCCTGACCTGTGGGAATATTCTTTATGATGACTGCTGAGTCCCTGGGTGATTAGATTACAGCAAGACAAAGAAGGGAGCATGAAAGGACGCCAAGGATAAAATGGCCCTGGGGAAACCATATGGGGCTTGAATTGGAAAGCACCAAGTGCCTCACCCTTTCCCTGGACTGTGTATCTTTGGGAAGCTCTAATCCGGAAAAGACCTGACTCCTTATGCACCTGCCACAGATGAGTACAGAGTGAGGCTGGGAGCTAAGAAAGTGGCCAAGGGAAGACATCCACCCATGCAAAGCTTTGTTTTCTCTCTGACTGAGGGGTGGGAATGAGAGGTTCTTCCTTCCCTGGCTCTTTAGCCCATGAGTTGTGTAAAATACTGCTCTGCATGAGATTTATGAGTGATTTATTGATGTATGAGCAAATCAAATTTTGCCTGCCAGCGAAGTAGGCTTTTCAAAATAAATTTGAGGTTGATGCTACGTTTAAAGAGAAGGATGGCTTGTGAAGGCAAATAATCATCCCAGTCCATGTTGTATGTTTTGGGTGGAGGTGTCTAGAGATCCCCTATCGTTTGCTTTTAGGTTGCAATTAAATATTACTTTAAAACAAACAAAACACTTAAGCAGGTAGGTGTATTGCAGGAGCTACTGCTAAAGAAATACGATTTTTAAAAAAGTTCCTTATGGAAAATTTCAAATATATATTTAAAAAGTAGCAAGCCTAATTTAAAAAACTCAGCTTCAACAATTATCAACTTGTGGCAGATTCTGGGAGAAACATGNCGCATTTTTGCAACGAAAAACATACAAAAAAATACATCATGACTTTTCTGACAACCCAATATAACAGAGCCCCAGAGAAGCCTAAAGGGGCTTCCTCACAAGGAAGAAGTCATCTGAGAGCTGAGTTCTTAGAGGATAAGCAGATAGGTAAGGTGTGGAAGGGAATTCTGGGAAGAAGAAGAGGCAAACAAAGGAGCTAAGATGTCGACATGTATGGCAGCCCAGGAATTATGAGTGGTTTGTAGTGTATGGCGTTGGGGGTGGTATGGTAATGATGTTAGAGAGGCAGATGTGGACCAGCTAACAGGCATCTTCAATGCCTTTGTAAGAAGTTTGGATTTATTCGGGTAAGCCATGGAGAAACATCCAAGATCTTGGAACAGGGAGTAACAGGATCGGTTAAAATATTAGTAAGGAGGCTGGAGACTAGGGGCAGGGATCACAGTGATATTGTAATAGTCTAAGCAAGCAATTCTGTGGGCCTGGGTTAGGGCAGAAACACTGGAGCAGAAGAGAAAGAAGGTGGATTCAAAGGATTTAGTGATCAGTTGGAGTTGGAGGTGAGAAAAGGGACTTGAGAATAACATGTGCATTTCTTGAGTAGGAGACAAATGCTTTGGTTTAAACCATTAACTGAAATGTGGGATGCAGGAGGAGGTGCAGATTTGGGAAACATGTTCAATTGAAATTGCGTTCTCTGCGATCCATCCAGGAAGGCAGCTGCACATCAGGGCTGGTGCTCAGGGAAAAGAGTGGAAGAACCCGGTCAGACAGAGATGAGAAAACCAGAATACAGCTGGGGCAGAGATGTTGCTGGGAGGCTGCCCATGTACCCAGCACCTAGGCCTGGGGGAGAGGCCACGTGCATGAGATTAGGACTCCTGGATCCCTCATGTGAAGATGAAGAAACAGAACTGGCATTTTTTTTCCCTGCCTCCATCAGATGCCCTGATTTAAGGCCCTGAGCCCAGGCTCTTAAGAATACTCATTTCTTTATCAAGGACCTTATCATCTGGTACATATCAGGATAGACCTCTACACCTAGAGCTGAACAAAATTTGGCTCAAAAAGAGGTCAGACCTTAAGACCAGAGAGAATTTAAATTGAAAAAAGAGCCATGTTCCTGGTCCTGTATTTCCTTCTGTCTAACGGTGCCTAAAATTGATACCTCCATTTTTCTTGAGAAACTGGCAAGCAGAAATTAAGAGAATGTTCCCAGGACTGGTATATATTTTGAAGCTCTCAGCAAAGCTGAAAATATCCATCGATATATTTTGAAGTGTAATTTCCACTCCCTTACCAGCCAAAATAATTGAACAGGAAGAAAAAGCTGTTAATGCAGGAGGCGTGTAACATCAGATGCATATTGCCTGGAAATTTACCATTGCGAAGCAACCGAGGGTTTTTACAGCCAGTGTTTATAGTCATCTGTGTCCCCTCTTCCTGAGCCACCCTCCGAAGCCATCCATTTGGCTTGGATACTGAAATGGTTCAGTGTCTGGAGCTGATATCAAAGCAGACAGACTTTTAAGAAATTATCCTGTTGGTTTTGTCAACATATAAATCTTGGGGTGTTTCCTCCTGGTAAGTAGTGTAAATAGTTGGGGCTGTCAGCACTCATGGAGCCAGTGATGGCAGAGATCCACGGTGGCACAGCCGGGCACATCCTCCCCTCTCCCTTGGCATCCTTGCCCTGTGTCCATGCACAGGTTGTCCTCTTACTCTAGGTGGGCATCTCTCCCTCCTGCCTGCCTCTGCCTCTGCCTCCAGCCCTGGACAGTAGGTCTGAGGGGCGCAAGGCCCTTGAGCAGAGCGGTGGTGGTGTGCCACCTCTTACAGCCTCGGCCTGGCTCAGCAGGATAGACAGACAATAGACTTTACTGACTTTCATCTTGTCTTCATCAATGTGTGTGTGTGTGTGTGTGTGTGTGTGTGTGTTATTTTCCAATTGGAATTTGACTTCATGTTTTTCCTGGAATTCCTGATTTCTTCCCCTATATTTGTGTCCAATGGAAGACATTGTAAATCCACGTCCAATCATTTGTCTTTCCTTCTATTTCTGAATCACGTATCTTTACAAAGGCTGGTCCTGAAGACGGGCCTGCAGTGTGTCCTTGGACAACTGGGATGACGAGGAGGTGGGAAGCCTGGGTATAAGGCCCAGCGGTGCTATTACCTAGCTTGGTGACCCTGGANTCCCCTCATCCCAGCCTGGTCTATCCAAGCCTAATTGCTTTTAGTCTTGAGAGAGCCAGGTATGAAGATATGGGACCCAAACTCATCATATCAACCCCTTGTGAGAGGCTCCAAACTCAGCCCTAGGCCTGAGGCATGAAGCTGGAGCATGCCACACTGAACCAGGCCGGCCGGCAGGGGGCGGGGGCGGGGTTTGACGGCTCCAGAAGGAGGGCTCCATGAGGAGAGGGAGGGAAGGAGGAGCAGGAATTTGGCTGAGTTTCTACAAGTCTCACCGCTTACTCCCCAGGGCTCAGTGGTGAGTATGCTGCACATCTGCACCCATTTGTCACTTCCTGGTAGCTCTGTCCCAAAGAGAAGCCTTCCCCTCTCCTCCCCCAACCCCCCCTAGAAAACCACATAGAAGCATAGCCTCTCTGGGTGGTGTTAGACTTCACCGCCTGCTCTTCCTTAGATGCACACAATAAATTTCCCTGGGGGTGGGGGTGAGGTTAAGGGGGCAGGTAAGCACCATGCTTAACTAACAGAAGTTGGACATAGACAGAGTTTGAGGGATGGGCCTCCAGCCACAGGCACACTAGAGGAGCTGGGAACTAGCAGCTGCCACCAGGCCACAGCCCCATGGTCTTTCTTCCAGATTCTAACCCCTGAGATGGAGTTCAGTGTTCAGAGATGACGGTGAGCATTGTTTCCTCTCTCGTCCGAGGAAAGGATTCCAGCGCAACCATAGAACGAAAGCAACAACTGAGAGACAGTGTTACCTAACATTCATTGAACTTCCAAAACAACAGGAGTGATAATAATAGCTACAGTTCACAGAGTACATAGCAGGTGCCAGGTGCTGTGCTGGCATCTCGCACATTATTTCTAACACACCCACAATCTGCAGACAAGGACTTTGAGGCTTGGTAAGATTCTCGGTTGCCAAGAGTCCTACAGCAGGTAAGTGGTAGGTTTCAGTCCATTTTCTATGCCAGTATCTGGGCAACAGTGCAGGGTTTCTGAGGTCACTGGGCAGTCTGCAGGGGGGTCACAAGTTCTATATGCAGGGGCCTTAATCCCCTTCTGTGCCTCCATTTTCTTTTCTGTAAAAGGAAGGATGTGGAGAGATGACCTCCGAGGTCCCTCCAACTGTGTCATTCTGGACTTCCAGTTCCTTGGGCACGTTCTCCCTTGTGCATTGCTCTTGAGCAAATGCTGTTTTAAAGCTGCTGAAGCCAGCACTCAGGTAAGCTGGGCAAAGTGCCAGGTGCCCTTGGCGCTCCCAGAGGCCAGGGAACTCTCTGCTCCTGCATTTGATGTGGGGATTTAGGGGGCCGGTGGATAACAGAGGGGAGAAAGGATACAGCTCAGTGTAAAACCCATATCTCTAGAGTTGAACAACCTGAATTCAAATGCTGATTCTGTCATATATTAGGACAGTGGCTTGGGCAAATTCTTAACCTCTCTTAGCCTCAGTTTCCTCAACTGAGAAATGGGGCATGACAGCCTATAACTTGCAGCATTGTTGGGAAAGGTAGGATGAAATAAAGCATGCAAGATCCAGTGCCTGGTAACCAGCCCAGTCCCCTGGAGGCCCACTCTCACAGGTGCTGCTGCCGGCTGCTGGGGTGAGGGGGACTCCTGAAGGGCCTGCCCAGGGCACACACACAGGATTGCTCACCAGTACTGAGAAAGAGTACAGACCCCAGGCAGTCCTCTTCAGCCACACCCAAGGTCCAACAAAGCCAACTGCCTGCCCCAAATGTGGGTTGCTGCCTCTTCCAGAGTTTCTGTCGAGTGGACTGGAGGCGGGGCAGGGGACAGGGGGTGTGGGGAGTACAGGGCCCCGTGTCTATCCTTGACAGCATACCCATTGCCCTTCAGACCCTGAGCCAGCCCAGAAGTCTCTTGCCCTGTCTGCAGCTCAGCGGGGCCCCAGAAGGTGGAGGAGGGGAACAGATTAGACCCTCATGTCTGCTCTACGCAGGAAAGGAGGCAGGGATGGTGAACAGAGCGTATGTTACTGTGCAACAGGCACTGTGCCGATACACGATCTCAGAATACTCCCCATGACTCTGTGAGGAAGGTGTGACCATCTCCACTTCACAGATGAAGAGATTGATGCCTGCAGAGGTAAGGCAGCCATGAAGTGGTGCATCAGCTACTCACTGCCAGGGGACCACACTTAATGCACCAGTGTGTCTAAGGGGAAGGTAGTTATAAGTTTAGTTTCCATAAACCATGACAGATCGAGGAGAAGACCTGACTCTTTGAAAGGAACTCAAAGAGTCTTCTTGTTAGTCATCATCCTCCTATTTGCCTGATAACCATGGCTTTTTATATGTTTCTGCCACTGGCGTGTAAGCTCCCTGAGGGTAGGGGTTCTGGTATGTTTTGTTCACCACTGTCTCCCCAGTGCTTAAAACAGTGTTTGGCATATAGTGACACATAGTACATGCTCATTAAGCATTTGGTGATGGAAGGGAGGGAGGCAGAGGTAAGAAAAAAGGTAGAGTAGCTCTGAGAAACATGCACTTCTCTCTTAAGTCAAGCACTTGAGAGTCGGGTGCAGAGCTAGAGCCCAGAGAAAGGGAGGGGTGTGCCTAGAGGCAGTGTGGACCTGTGTCATNGGTTGAAGAAAAGTATCACCTTGATATGCACTCCTAAAGGTGCATCAGTTTGTATTCACTCCAGCAAGGGAAGTCCCCTCCTCTCCGTCCAATTTCTAGGATTCTAGTCTAGTGAAATGATTAAAGATACAGTCAAAGATTTATACACAAGAAATTTCACCACAGTGTCACTGATATTAATTAACAAAAGAACTGAAACCACCCGAATTTTCAAGTGTGTGAATGGATAACTAAAGTAAGGTAAAGCCACTGTGAATCTACTTTCAAAGATTTAAAGGCACAGGAAATAAATTACTTGTGATACCATACTAAGTGTGTGGGGGGGCGGCGGGAATAAGATATCAAGCTGTATATATGTATGGCTCTCAATTTTGTTTAAACATTGTTATGTTTTATATGCTTTTTAAATTCTGAAAGGAAATTCATAAACATACTAGCAAAGGTTAACTCCATTCTCAATGGAAGGAAGATGGATGATTTTTATTCTTTTTTTCAGACTCATCTCTAATAAGCATACATCACTTTTGTATGAGAAAAAACAATAAATATTTATTTTATAATATGCCTACCCTAAAATACCTCATTTGAAACAGAAATTGTCAGTCTTAGAGAAAGGTTCCTAAAGTACAAGGCTGATGCGGAGAACAAAAAGATTCAACTCTACAGTCACTCCTCTGAAAAGGATGAGAAGCCTCGCGAGCCACAGTCTAGCTGCTTCCTCTGTTGTGGCTGCTGGCTGTTCCCGGGCTTCGCAGGAAGCTCTATTGGAGAGCTCATCCCTTCTCCCCACAGCAAACACGGCACCTTCAAAGACTTCGCATGTGTTTCTCACCACCTAGCAGGAGGCTTATAGGGAAAGACAACGAAAGAGCCCTACTGCCTGTTTCAGAGGAAGAAGTTTTTCTTGTAAAGCTATCAAAATAACCCCAAATAAACTACGCAAAATTTGAAACATGAAGTCATGAGTTATGTTCAGGAACCACGTAATTTAAAAGCCTCTTATTTCTCAAGAATGAATATAAAACAAAAATCTATGAGTGCCACCTTGTGGCCAGCCTACTACATGCCCACCTATCCATCTCTATGGTTTTCCACCCCTGGGGTCCGCACAGTATGGCCACGGAGATACAGGCCTCTAATAACTTGCTGCATTGAACATACAGGCCCCAAAGCGGCTGGTACTATTCATTTTCAAGGATTTCTAGTTTAGATCCCAGAAATGCCTGTTTGAGGACAAATGGGAATAAAGGGGCAGAGAAACAAAACAGGATGTGTACATGTGCTCGTGGGCTGCTGTTGATGGGTCAAAGCTGCACTGTATGAGCGCTCTATCCATCTGTGCACACATACCATGATACTGCCATGCAGCAGGAACCTGTAGGACAAGCATCTCCTCCCCCAAGAATATTTACCAATTTTATAAAGTTATGAAGAAAAAGGTTTTACATGTACAATCAGTGAGTTTTGTGCTTATAAGTTTTATTTATCAATGTTAGAGCAATCACCACCAACTTGGGCACAATTCCAAAGGGGAACACTTGTTGGATTCTGGCCATAAAATTCTTCTTTAGCCTTTTAAGATCTTATAAAGTAAGAAAGTTTTTCTAATATTTTAGAAAAAATACTAATCGCTAATAAGTTAATTTCATGCTCAAAGTGGTGACCTCACATTTTCAAAGATAAAACACCACTATTTTGAACATCTAAACATATGAATTCATCTCAGTGTCCCCTCACTTTACAATCTGACCAAATGACTCTGGGAGAGAATTACGTGCTCAAAAGAGGTCAGTACTGCAAATCTGAAAGGACCTGATACTGATTCTGAGAAAAGATAGTCTTCCTTTCAGAAAGGGATTAAGCTAAAAACCTTGCTGTTCTGGGCAGGAGAATTGTAACAAGCAGACAATAAACAGTATGAAAGGGAAGGCTGAGCAAATTACCAAAATTCTCTTGGGAGATGGTGCTTATGCTTCTTACTGTCCCACCCAGGTGGAAGGTCTGTTTCCAGAAAAGGACCCCCCCAGTGCTCAGCAGGAAGTGTAGGGCAGGAAGTTGCTGCTTTGGTCCTGGACCCGTGAAGGGGAGCACTGCTGTCAAGTGTATGTGAAATAAACTGAAATGATCCAGATGGGATGGATCCCAGCCAGGTGAGTTACGGGAGAGCATTAGGCCAAAGAAATTTTTTTTTTAAATTGAGGAACTGGGAGATGGAAACAGTGCTGGGGAATTGGGGGAAGGGGAACAGACAAGTTGCTGTCCTTTTGTTGTTCAGTCTAGTTGTGGAGGACGTTGCTTCACTGGCCCATGTTGGTATTGTGATCATTGTGCTCTTCCCGGGTGAGGCAGATCAGTCGCCAGCCACTGAACAGCCGCTCACGGTGGCTCTTGGCAGCTCACACCGGCTGCCGGCCACTCACGGTAGATTATGGCAGCCCACTGCAGCTCCACTGCAGCCTACGCCGTTGCAGGTAACTCACAGCAGCCCAGCTCCAGGTTGAGCTGTTGTTCACCATGTTAGCTGTCGAGGGCACAGTGTCACTGGCCCTAACGTGGGATCCGAACCAGGGCCCTGCTGCTCAGAGCTGGTATCCCAAGCCAGGTCTTAACCAATGTGCCACTCGTAGGCCAAAGAATTTATAATTATGAGGTTGAACTGGAAAAATGAATCTGAACCATTGTTCATCTCTCCAACCCCCTGGGAGAACTTTTTCTCTCCCTCCTAACCTGATGGGATTGAAATACTTGACAACCAATTTGAGATAAGCCAACATACTGGACAAGGAAGAAATGTATTAAAAACCTGATAGCCTTGACAAGTCACTCCTGGGAGAATCCTTCATTTACCATCTGCACAGGGATAGCAGAAGAGAAAGAGTAAAGTAAAGGCCAATGCCCACCTTGTCCACAGAAGTAACAATGAAAGGGAGGAAAATCAAATTTTTCACCTGCCCGACCAAAATTCGAAACTATAGGCTCCCCTGAAAACAACAGCCTTGCTCCACCAGAGGCATCCTGAGATCAGAATGGGTTAGTATTCTGAGCTGTGTCACCAGGCTTTGACAATTATTGATGTATTAAAACAGGAAGAGGTGACTTTTCAACCTTGGTTCCAGCTTCCCGGCTGTCCGAGCCTGGGAGGGGAGCAGCTATCATGACAGCTTGACGGGAAGGTCTCCCCTGTATTTCCGGAGCAGCTTCTGATGGTTGTGGTCCACTGACCACTGCTGGGGCAGGTGCTTGGGCTGCATGGAGTCCAGGAAGTGCTGACGCCAGCGGCTCTCCAGCTGCATGAGGGAGCGCAGCCCGCCCTGGCTATGGCACTGTACCACCTTCAGCCCATGAGGAACGTAGTTGTCATTGGAAATCCTGTCAAGACACAACGTGCAAAGGGTCTGAGGGAAACAGGCAGAGGACGGTCTCGCCATGGGCTCCAAGTGCTGTGGGCCCAGGGGTTTCTATAAGGGCATATGGGAGGCTACTAGACTCCTAACCGGTTGGTTATCTTAATGTTTTTAAAACATCCTCTTTCCCGTATCTGCCTTTAAAACAAATAGTTTGGACATACTGCTTATAAGCCAACAAAAGGCATTTGGGGATTCTGAGTTATACTTGTGGGAAAACCACTGCATGATGCTCAGCCCCCATTACAGGAGCCCTACTGTGTGGCTGATGATGGGTGAAGAATGCTGGTCCTGTATTTACTCCAGGGTGCTCAGTTGCCAGCGCACGCTCCTTTTAAGTTATTCATCCTGAACCATACTCAGTACTTATATGAGGCTGTTAAGTCAGGCCACGTGTGCCAGTTTTTCACAGCAGTGTAACATCTGAATGTGAAATGAAAGGTGGGATATTTCCTCAGTGTCTTCCTTCTCACAAAAAGAATGCCAAACCACACCCAGGAGCTGGTGCTGGTGAAGAGGAAGATGAACCCCTGCCTCCTTCCCAACTATGCAGAGAGGCCTTAACAACTGCTCTGATACCAAGCGAAGGGTGCTTTCACCTGCAGTCAATACAGATTACCTTGCTCAAGGAAGCTCCCTGCCCCACAGGCTCAGTTCCTCTCCTTGTAGCCCCACCTCACTCCAACTCCTCCCTCCCAAGACCCCCACCAGTCCAGCAGAGTCAGTGCCCTCTGCGTATCTGCAGGCATTTTATTATTTAGCTCCTGGGCATCCCACTAACTTGTCTTTCCCCAACCAGCTGTTTTTCTTGGTCCTAGACATCCAAGTCCCGCATCCTTCTATCCAAGTCAGCAAGGGAGATTTATTAGAAAGGTTTGTGGCTGAAAGGGGAAGATTGGTTCTTTTAGGAAATACATTTGGGAACTGGTTAAAGGAACCAGTGTTACTAATTTCTAATATGGCTTTGGTAAGTTACTTAACTTTAACCTTGGGGTATCTACAACTTCGTAGAATGGTTATGAGGATAAAATATAGTAATTAAATTTTTTAAACTGAAAGATTGTTTTAAAATATAAGACATAATGTTAGCAGTCACCAGTAAGAAATCTAAATCCTATCTCAGAGGGTTGTTACAAGAAATAATCCAGACAATTTATATAAAGTTTATTAGCTTAGTTAGATTAGTATATCCACAAATATTTGTTCAATAAATATTTCCAGCTATTAATTAAGGTGTTTGGGTTTTTTGATAACAGAAATATTATAGGCAACCAGCATCACTATCAGGATTTGGTGAACTTATTGGTTCAATTATTTCAACCCCTAGGACTACTGAAAAAAGTATAGCAGGAAGGCCAGTTTTTATCATCTGCGCCATGGACCCACTCATTTCTCCAGATCATAAATTTCTCATTTAGGAACACTGAGCCAAGTCACATGAATTCGACTGAGGAAGGAAGGAAAAAGCAGAAAAGTAATTTGAATAGGAATAGCAATTCTGGCCCATATTCCATTCAGTGGGCCGGTCCCCTGGAGTGCAGGTGAGATAGGAAACATGAATCCATTGGTCTTGATTCCCACAGACTTGGCTAAGGTAAGAGACATGAAATCACATACTGTACTTCATGGGCAACTTTAGAGATTTGAGGGTATGTTTGGACTATTATTTTCATCTTATGTGCTGACTTGAAGATTTATTTCTGCACTGAATATATCAGGCACAACTCTGCTGCCTTTGAACTTTCCTGCTAATCATGAAAATGACACTGGACATAAGAATATGACCTTAAAGGCTTGAGGATAGAGGCAAGTCTCCTATGGAAAGGAAATTCTGAAACAGGTTGTTCTATCCCACCCCCATGGTATTTTAAGTCATTAGATACTTAATGGGATAAATATGAGGTTATGCACTGCACTGAAGCAACTAATACCTCCTCCCTGGCAAGTGTTCTCGCTAAGTAGTCAGGGTTAATGCCACTGCTATTCCTCAATCCCTGCTCTGACCGGAACTGTCCATTGTACCTGATCTCCAGACTGGCAGCCTCTTGAAGCATCTCATCTGTGACCGTGTCTGTGTCATAAAATTCTCTGAGCGCTTGCAGCAGCTCCTCCTCCCGGTGAGCAGGTAGGCTCTCCGCGTTGAGCAGGGCCCTGGCCCCAGAACGCACCTGCCGGCGCTCAGGGTCTTCCAGCAGGCGCAGGCCCTCCTCAGAGCCAATGGGGGCCTGGAACTCCTTGGCCAGCTGCTGCTTCAAATGGTTGTCATGGTAGTTGGAGATGGCATGGCAGGAGGTGCACAGCAGCAGCACATCGTGGGAGTTGTGGTCCTTCATCTCAATGGGAAAGTGCTTCCGGTACTCATGTGGAACCACGTTCTTCCTGAGCAAGCCCACCCAGAAGGCAGTGCTCATTAGCATATGACACAGAACACACAGGGAGCTAGCAGAGGGGCTACTGGATTTGGATCTGGGCCTAAACATGACCGCAAAGCCTTGGGCCCCACAACCAAAACAGATTACATAACAACAATACTACCTAGTCCACTTTTGGCCCACCCACCTACCTGTGCCTTAGATTCCTCTCTTCTTGAAGTGAGAATTGACTACCTCTTATCAGGCTTCAGGGGAGGGCCAGGGGTCGAAAGAGGCTAAGAACCTTTGAGAAGTTTGTGCTCCCAGAAGGAAAAGTATCAGAGAAATGAAAAGAAATTCAAATGGCCTTTAACATTTGGAAAACAACTCTCTCAAAGCACAGTGCAGGTAACCTCTGCTCCTGAAATTTGGGGAGCCTGGTGACCTGAAAAAGCCAATTTCCTCGGCTTGAAGAATCCCTTACTCTAAGATGAGTTCCCTCGTTCATCAAAGTCCATCGTTGTTTTCTAAGGAGAACTAAGCCCTCAGGAAAAACTCCTGGTAGCAACCACTACTTGCCTCACTTTGCAAGGGGAGAAAGGGGGAAAGTGAGTTACTTCACAGATGCCAAGGAGAAAGCGTAGTCATCTGGACACTTCATGAACAGTACCAAGGATCAGAGAGCTCATGAGCCACTCACAGGAGGCTTTTAGGAACAGAGAGAAAGGCAGCTTCTGCAGGAACTGGTCTCACCCTTCGTGAGCAAAAGGGAGCCACTCTCTTTCTGGCAAACTGTTACTGAGAAGAGTGCTGCAGTCCACAAACTAAGAACTGGGCTCAGGAGAGGTAGGAGCCACTAGAGCAAGGCCAGGCAGAGTGTCAAAGCTCTCAGGGAAACGGAAATGTTCCCTAGGGACAAGTCTCTCAGATTCCAGCAAGGCCCCTTAGGGCTCTGCATGTGGCTCCACAGGTAATTTCCATCAGGCAGACAATCAGGGAAGGCAACCCCTCACTCACCGAATGTACGAGTCTTTCTTGCCACACACTACACACAGGTTCTCCTTAACCATCAAGTAGTAGTCTCCTGGAGATTCAGGTCTTCCTGCAGGTTCAAACTGCAGCTTGACCACAAAAGGCTCTTCACTCACCAGCTCTTAGAGAAAAGAATAAGTTTTCATTAATGTGTGACTGCTCACCTCTTCCCCCAGGGAAGAAGTACCTGTTCTCAGCTCTGTCCTGGTAGATATCACTATTTCTGGGTTTTGAATAGCACCATCCCATGTGACTCAAGACCTCTCTCTGCCTGCTTCTGTACATCCCTCTCTCTTACTTCACTCCCCACTTCTGCCAGAGCCCACATGCACCTAATTATAAATAAAATACGACAGTTGAATTTCAAACCTCCAATGCCTTTGTCCAGGTACCACTGAGCTTTTCTTCGATCACAAGTGCATAGGGGCTGTCCATCAGGAGCATGGAGAAAGCAGTTATCATAGAGGGGTGATTTTCTGCAGGGAAGGGAGAGAGAAATCTAAAACTGAAAGCTTACTATTGGTCAAGGAATCAGTTGCTGCCCATTGGTCTCTTCTGAGCGGACCCAAGCTATTCTCAACACTAGGGGCAAACATTACATTTATGGGGGGGGGGGTGGAAGGCAAGTAACCATGTTAATTCCTCCATCTGCATTGGGCTAGGAAACAGAAATAAAAATGAATTAGTTTATACTTCTAGTTTTTATATTTATGGATTGGGACATGAAGGGCTGAGTTGGGTAGTGTTACACAGTTCTATTATGAAGGCAAACAGGAGCAGAGCACCAAGAAAACTGCCCTGTAGAGTAATTGTTGGATTAAACAAAGTAAATTACAATTAAAGAACTTCAGTCTAAAGTGATAACGGCCACGTGGATTTATTTCTGGATCATACGCAATACTTGCTTCAATTTAATCATCCAATTCCTAAAGGCACTTTGCAAAGGGACCAAACTTCCACTCTAAAGTACTTATTAGTCATCTTTTTGCAATGGACACATGAGCTGTATAATATTGGCTTAGAACTGAATGCCATTTTGAATAGTCAAATACTAAATGAAGAAGATGCCGCACTTCTCCTGAAAAGTATGATGTACTTCATGTTATTAATTTTCACAGCTATTCTGAAGCAAGCAGGAATAATAATTACACCCTCATTTATAATTGGAGAAAGTACTGGTCTAAGGTGAAATCAAGGTCAGTGACAAAGCTAGGTTAAGCTCTCCTCACTTCCACTCCAACCGTAAAAAAGTAAAAGAAGGGGAAAAGGAGAAAAACACACACATAAATCAAAGGATAGCTCCCAATATCCTTGAAGGAAAGGAAAAATAAAATTGAAACCTGGAGAGCCTCTGCTACCTTACCACATAAGCCTTCTCCCCAGACGCAAGGTGAGGCATCACATGCACCTTGCTGGGGACCAGGCCTCTGACTCTTTACTTGACAGGGAACAACTCAGTTACCTGGCAGAATAGCCCACCCCCAGGGGCTTTCTTTTATGTTTTCTGGGGTCTTTCCCTTGGTGGTTGCCTGGCACCGTTACATCAATCTTAGACTTCTTATTTCTTGGCTTCTGCAAAGATTCTGTTGCATCCCCATTAACCTCTTCTCCCAATCTGCTAATGTCTTTGCTTCGGAATGGGATGTCTACTACATCCTGGCATTTCTCCAAGACTTTTCTCCAGCCGATGAGGTCATCGTTTTCTTCTAAAGTTGAATTCCTAGAGAAAGGGTATCCAAGAAGATGGAGAAAGAGAGCCACTGAAATCTGGGCATCCCTGGCAGCATAAATTACCTGAAGAGAAAAGTCAGAGATCAGTGGAATCTGGAAGGCAAACCAGAGTGCAAGTTCAATGTCAATCACAGAGATATAAACAACTTTTAGGTCTAATGGAAGTTGTACAATAGCCTAGGCACCATGTACTGCTTAAAAAACTTTTTATTATGAAAAACTTCAAACTATACAAAAGTAAATCGAATAGCATGATGAATCCTCATGTTCCCTATGTTCTCAACTAAAATAGTTAAAATAATGACTTACTGTAAATGCTCAAATATACTAAACTATATATTGGGTCTTCGGAAAAGTCA